ACTTGTTTGGTGTTTGGTTTTTTTTTGGGGGGGGAGGTGGCCCTGGGCTCATAAGTCTGGACCACTGAGAGTGGGTGTGAAGGGGCCCTCATGCCTGGATCCCTGGGGTGAAGGGAGGGGGCCAGGTGAGACCCAGAGGCGCCAGCTCCCCCACCCTCACGTCACCTGCAAGCCGTGGAAGTCTCCGGTGGTGGTCAGGGCCTCGGGGGTGTCACTGAGGAAGTCCCCATCGACCACGGGCACGAAGGAGAAGCGGAAGATGCTTTCTTGAGGTAACACATGCCACTCGTGGTCCACCAGGTCCTGAGCTGGCCGAGTCCGCAGGCAGGCCACTAGCTCTGTGTCATTGCTGCCGGTGCCGCCTGGGGGACAACCCACGAGGCGGGCCAGCAGCGTGGCCCTGCGACGCGCCTCTCCCACCCCCACAGTGGCCCAGGGCCCGTTAGGGGTCCCGCTCTGCAGGATGGCCCTGTGGAAGAGGCTCCGGCTGGGCGGGGACAGCAGGTGCATGCCCACAGAGGCTGCCCCTGCACTCTCCCCAAACAGGGTCACCGACGCCGGGTCCCCCCCAAAGACTGCCACATTCTCTCGGACCCACTGCAGTGCGAGCCTCTGATCCAGTAAGCCCACGTTGCCTGGGGCCTCTCTGCTTCCTGGCAGGGCCAAGAAGCCAAAACTTCCCACTCGGTAGTTCATGGATACCAGCACGGTGCCCTCGGCCCGCGCCAGGAAGCGGCCGTCGTACACGTCCAGGGAGGAGGCCCCGCTGTAGAAGCCGCCTCCGTAGATCCAGACGAGGACTGGTGCAGGGGTTGCAGGCCGGGGGTACGGTGTCCACACATTGAGGTACAGGCAGTCCTCGCTCAGCTCACGGTTGGGGTTCCACATCTCGGTGCCCTCAAAACCAGGGTACAGGGTGTCCACGTATTGATAGCAGACATTCTGGAAGGTCGTGGCGTCCAGTACTCCTGGCCAGGGCCGCTTGGGCTCTGGTGGCAGAAATCGACGGGGACCTACAGGTGGCTCCGCGAAGGGGATGCCCAGAAACGCGGACACAGGGCCCCCAGGCGCCTTCAGGCGAATCCCGCGCAGGTGGCCTCCCCGGACGGTCACCAGCAGCTCTGGATCCTCCCGCCCCTCCACCTCCAGTCCTCCACCCAGGAGGGAGAGGAGGAGGAGGAGGAGGAGGGAAGGCCGGGAGCGCACTCGCAGGCCACACCATGGGGGCCTCATGGCTGCCAGGCCAGGCGGGCGGGCGTCTGCTGGGAGAAAGAAAGCCGGATGAAGGCTGGAGAGGGCCAGGAGGGAGATTAGGTAACAATCTTGCCCAAGGGTTATCGTGGAGCTGCAGCAGGGGTGGAGCAGGCTGCCAGGATGAGAAGGAGGGACGAGGGGAGGGACAGGCAGAGACGAGGCCACAGGCAGGAGGGCACAGATCAGACGTGCATGCACACACATGCACACGCATTCGGGGATCAGAGATAAGACCCTCCAAGGGGGAAGCCCCCCCCTTCCTTCCTGGGCTCTGTGGCTTGGGTGTGGGGAACCAGAGGCTGCAGTCCATCAAGCCCGGGCGCCACGGGGAAGGCAGAGCCCCAGTCCCCCCCACGGTGGCTCAGAGCCGGGATGGGGTGTAGGTGTGGGTAGCCTGGGGCAATGGGTTGGGTGTCCAAGGTGTGGCAACTTCAGGTCCTGGGGCACCCACAAATCCTTCTCACTCCCCACACGCTGCCACACCCTGCTCCTTTTCATTCGCCGCCAGACGCGTTTGTACCTGCCTATCCCCATCAGCCACGCACCCCTCCTCCCTGCAGGGCTCTCCGGCCTCGGCCCCCCCCCCCCCGCCTCCGCCCGCCGCCACCGCGCTCGCCGCCGCGGCCAGCAGGGGGCGGTGCAGGCCGAGGCGAGGACCGCCATCCCCGCCCTGGAGCCTGGCGCTCCGGGCGGAGGGTCCGGGGACCCGAAGGGCGGGCCGGGACGCCCGCGCGCCCCGAGCTCCGGAGATCCCCGTCTGCGGGGGGGTGGGGGGGGACAGGGCCGCTATTTTGGGGGCAACAGCTGCTGCGGTTCCGGCATCTCCAGCCAAGGGATCAACATTCCCCGGGTCGGAACTCCCCCTCTCCGGGCGGGCGGGCGGGCGGCGCCCCGCATCCCCCCCCCATCCCGTCCCCAGTCCCTTCGCGGGGCCGCGGACGGCGCTGGAGGTGAACCAGGAAACCCGAGTGCGGCTAATTATAGCGCGGGGCTTCCGCCAGCCCCCCTTCCCAAACACCGGGCGGGACGCGGCTGGAGCGGGGTCTGGGCCCCGCGGGGCGCGGCGGGGAGGCGCGCGTGCGGGGGGCGCGGCGGGGCGCGCGCGTGCGGGGCTCAGCTGGGCGCCAGAAGCCTGCGCGGTGTGGGTGCAGCTCGTGGTCCAGGGCGTCTTCCCGGGGCCGCCGGCTCGGGGGGCGCTCGGAGGTCCCCGCGGGGGTCCGGGCGGCGGTGAGTACGCAGCCGGCGGCGGGGACGGAGAGGCCGCGGGACGCTCTGTTTGGGGGTGCCCTGTCTGGGGGACGTCTGTCGCTCCTGGAATGCTGGTCCTCCGGGGCGCGGAGCGATCGCCGGCTCGGGCAGGGTCCCGGTGCCCGCGCAGGGTCCCGGTGCCGCGGGGGACTCACCTGAGGCCGGGCCGCGCCGGGCCGCGCCGGGAGCTGCAGGCGGCCGGTGTTCCCGGCGCAGGCGGAGCCGACTGTGACAGCCGCCGCCTCCGCCCCCCGCGCACGCCCCGGGCCGCGCGCCCCCGCCCCGCCCCCGCCCCGCCCCTGCCCGCCCCTTCCCCCCTCCCGGGACCCCGCGCCCCGACGCACTCCAGGTGACGGACGCCGCCGGACGCGCAGACGCGCAGGGCCGGACGAGGCCCGAGACCCGCGCGGCGGCGGCGGCGGCGGCGGGCGGGACCCTACGTGACCCGCCGACCTCGCACGCGGCCACGGACACCGCGAAGCCCGCAGACCGACTCGCCCTGCCAGCTGCGGCCGGGGCCGGCGTCATGCCCGCCAGGGTTGCGGCCCCGGGTCGGGGGGCTTGCGCCGTCTCTCTGAGGGGGTAATAGGACACGGGGCGCCCCGTCGGGTGCGGGAC